TCCTAGAATTTTAATGCAGTTATCTGTATTAACTGTACATGTGTTTACATTCTCAAATACAGCAACTTTTTAAAATAGGTCAGCATTTGATTGATGATATCAGATACGGCTTTGGCGTACAAGAACATCTGAATGAGAAAATATGTGCGTGGTCTGTTAAGAAATACACACAGCTGCTATCAATATTTCAGATAATTGCAAAAGAGCCAAACTACACTCCCAAAATAATGTTCTCAAATACTGCAACATTTGATGAAATGAAAGTAACCAGTGTTACAAAGAACAGTACACTATACCAACCTTCAAACAAACAGCAATTACCCAGCATTAATGAAGACATAAAAATAAAAATGGATGAAAAGGAAGTCAAACGGGGCACTGAACAATCTTTGAGAACAGCAGGATATTGTGCATTTACACAGATAGTGGTCAATCTGCAAACAAGGCGGACACTTGTGTGATATTTTTTTCCACCACAAGAGAACAAAGATGAGCCACAATGTTCCACTACGTAACAGAGGAATGAAGAAGTTAGCTGTTGGTTTACAATATTTTCACAGCACAAAATTAACTCGAGGTGTCAGACTAGTGAACAAGCCTATCTCCGCGAAAGCTTGTCAGCTTTGTAGAGACGGTGCACCAAATTGGTTAGTATCTACCTCTACTCCTGCCATGAGTTCTATTTTTTTGTATATCTTTCACAGAAACTGGCAGTGACCTTTGTAAGGTACTTCACCAGATCTCTGAAACCAGCTCATCCATCAGAACAGCTCCACAAGCAACTCCTCTTGTGACTTTAGTCGTGTGTGCATGCATTCATATTAGTGGTTTTGGAACGGTTTTGTTGTAATTTTATGGTTTTGTACACACTGTACACTTCCTTACCAGTTTCTCTGCTGCAGTAGAGAGTGTTGTCCGCCATCGTGACGTCATCAGATTCAGCATGTAAACGGTTTCCTCTCGCTGCTCCTCTCTCTGTCCAGCTCATCTACAATGAACAAAAACATACAGCCTATAATAACCATACAGCAAAAAATAAACAAATACACACACACATACATATATATATATAAAAATGGGCAAAAATATGTTGGTAAATTAAAAACTATATTTACATAATTTACATAACATTGTATATATGTTTTAAGTAGGGCTGCACGATAAATCGCATGAGATATTTAACGCGCATCTTGTCAGAAAAGCCGGTTCTGTAATCAGCGGTAAATCTCCATCATATATATATATATATGCTTTTATGAATATGTTTTGAATATATTTTTTGTCTAGGAGATTTTGGTGTACAATGACAAATTAGCTCCACTGTTGCTGTAACAACAACTATAATATAAAACATTTTTCTTTATTTAAATAAAGTTAAATAAAATACAAATAACAGATAAAAACGTAAACTAAACAATTTGCTAAAATGTCCTTAAATTTACTAAAATAAACTAAACAATTTACTAAAATTACTAACTACAAAAAAATAAAGCTAAAATATAAATAAACTAAAACTCTATAAATGTAAAAAACTAATAAGAAAGGTCAAACACATAAAATTCATTAGATTAAACACATTCAAAAGAAAACTGAAAACAGACAAATAAAAGCTATTTCAAAATATTAACAATATCTACAATAGTATATAAATAATACTAAAATAACACTGATCCGCTCTGATATGGTGATCACAGGCAACCACAGGTACAGTATACCTCAAACCATCAGATTCACCTACGTGCATAATTTGAGATCCATAGTCTTAAAGGTCCCATATTGTCAAAACTGAAATTTCCTGGCCTTTTTCATGATAACTGAGATCTAGGGGCTATTTAACTACCATATGCGTTTCAAAACAGTCAGTCCACAGTAAAATGCACACAGCCTGCTTAAAGTAGCTGTGATTTTTCACGAACCGTTGTGACTTCCATAAAAAGTTGACATCAGAACTACACAGTCACCGCCTTCAGTCACCACCCCGAGCACCGCCCACAGTCCCACTCTCCTTTTGCCAAACCCCCAGACAACATCACGTCCATGCCATTGCTGAGCAACGACAACACGGAAACATGTCAAAAAGGTTAACTTTACCCACGAAACCAGACCGGCCGACCTGTAAGGTTACACTCTCACTCAAAGATTGGACGATCTGACAGGATTGTTACTATGAGGTGGATCACATCTAATGTGTATAGTAAAGACAAACTCACCGTGTCTATCTAGTCATGATGAAGATGTATATACATTTCAATTTCAGCAGGCAACTATTTTTACAGCTACATTATTGTTCCAGCCACAATTAATCACAACAATGTATATACAATTACAAATGATTATATATAAATTGTCAGTTTGTTGTTTTACACACATGCACAGACATTTCATACATGACATAGTCGTGAGATCCAAGAAACATATGGCAAGAAATCTGTCGACGCGCCCATAACAACAAAAGACGATGCTTTATTGAACCTTTTCTGATAAGAAGTGTGCGCTGCAAACGCGAGCATTTTTGACGATCGTCTCTGTCCAGTCTGCTCGTTTTATCGCGTTTAACCACAGCTGTCGTCATTTTTTTGTCTGGCAGTGACAGCAGATATGCGATAAAATCCTAAAATAAAACTCCAGAAAGGTGTAAAATATGTGACCTTTAAAACACTCACAACTGTTGCAGCACAAAACACTCACTGCAGTTACAACACAATTACAGTTACAACAGCAAAATATACTCAGCAAAATATAGTATTTTTCACACTGTTAGTGCTCTACCAGCAAGTGTCATTTTCAGTGGTATGTGAGATGGAAATTCTCTTTGCACTTTTTGCACCAGCTGAAATGCTGTTTAACTTCACCACAAGACTTTGGACAAATGGTCTTTGTTGAGGAACCACATTCTGAGCCAACAAACGCTCTCCAAAACTGAGCCAAAGTGATCATATTATGTTGCACAACAGAAACCTTCTCAGCATAAAGCCGTATTCATTTCCCCCAGTGCATTACATCAAGCTCTTCCATTCCAAAGCGTTCCTCATTCAACAGCCACAACACAGCTTCTACTGTTGGCTTTCTGTAGCACCACTTCAGTTTCAAATTCTCAAAGACAGCAGCCTTTTTTAGGCAAAAGCTAAAAAGCTGGAGGAACCTGAGACATCATACGTAATCTCAACATTCCCATTGGTCTTTACCAATATATTCAAATCCATGGCTGAATGATTCAATTCAATATCTGGCCAGCATCACTCTTGCTGTTTCTCATTCTAAGGTGTGGGGATTTGAACAAACCGCTAAGTCTAAGTTTTAAAGTTTGGTGTGTAACTTGTGTCACATTGTTTGTGCTACAGACATGATTGATAGATTTCCAATCAAAGAGAAGCCAATTTCTCATCTGGCAGACAGAGCTGGGCAAAATTCTGACTGAAGAATTGGCTCCCATTCTATTCATGATTTGGAGTATGAATTCAATTTGTCATGCCCCATATGAAGTTGAATTGAAATTTACATTAAAATGAAGGGAAACGGAATCTATCTATCTATCTATCCATCCATCAATCTATCTGTAGAATCTAACTACAGTATCTATGTATCTATCTGTCTGTCTATCTATCCATCCATCATCTATCAATCCATCCATTCATTTATTTAGATTATCTATCTATCTATCTATCTATCTATCTATCTATCTATCTATCTATCCGTCCATCCGTCCATCTATCTATAGTATCTACAGTATCTATCTATCTATCTATCTTTCTATCTATCTATCTATCTATCCATCCATCTATCATCTATCAATCCATCCGTTCATTTAACTCTGTCTGTCTATAGTATCTAACTATAGCAACCCAGGCTCATTCGAAATACGTGCCTCTAAATGCATTTCTGCAGCACCATTATTACGTGCCTTACTGCACGTTTCACGGCAGTTTCAAAGTGAAACGTCCGGTGAGTGGCGCTAAAACGCGGGTTCAATACTTGACCCTGGCACGTTTTTGCTACGTTGATATAGGCATGTATTGCTGTGTTTGTATTACGTTGCTTCAGGTACGTATTGCGGTGGTTCATTATTCAAATATTCGAGGAGTGTCGGTAAAAGTTAATGCCCAATCGTGTTGGCAATACCCCCTACACCAAACCCAACCCTAAACCTACCCGATAGTGTTAACAAATGTAAAAGTGATAAAAAAATGCATTTGTTGATGCAGCCGTGCTATTTTAACTTCCTTTTGAGTTGCTTTGTTGAAGCGTAGTTTCATGGGGTTCGTACCGGAGCTCTTCATCACCTAAGTGCAACGCCATATTGCGTGAGCTACCGAGCAAACCTACGGAGTTAGATTTAAACTCATGCATATGAAGCTGTATATGTAACGCTAACCTTCAAATGCATCAGTTTTCAAATCTCGCAGCATGTTAAAATTGTTTTGAATTCATAACATAATATTCCTCAAGTAATTATGTGAAAATTAGGCTTTATTAATCAAAACTGTGGACCTGCAAATCATATTTTGTGTGAAAAGGAATAAAAGTTGTGGAAGTTTTACTGCCTCTAGTGTTCTTTTCAACTGGAAACTGCAGCGATTCGTATGTATAAGTATGTTTTTTGAGTTTTGCAGAAATGTAGGTAGAGGCATGTATTTCCAATGAGCCTATGCTGCACTATAGTATCTATGTATCCCTCTGTCTATCTATCTATCCATCTATCAGTCCATCCGTTTGTTTATTTACATATATGTCTGTCTATCTATAGTATCTAATTACAATATCTAGGCCTATGTATCTATCCATCCATCCATCCATCCATAAACCTGTCTGTTTGTCTGTCTCTCCACCTATAGTATCTAAATACAATATCGATCCATCCATCCATCCATCCATCTATTAATTTTCCAATCTGGCTGTCTTTCAATCAATCTTTCTCTTTTAAATTAAAAATGACCGTTTTTAATTTAATTCCATTTAATCATTTTACAGGCAATCTCAATTCAATTCTGAAAGGTGCACAATTCTTGCTGGCAGGCAATATCCACAGGAGGAAACCCAGCCATATCTAGGGACCAAAACCACTTGAACCACTCACATTTACTTCAGAAGGTGTTAAAATGTAATTCATGTGGATATGAAACTAAAGAGAAGAATTTAATAAAAGAGTGTTAGCTGTATCAAAAGAGTGTGAGGTCAAACCACTAGGTACTAGTAGGTACTGCTGGAGTGTTAAAATGAGAAGTTATAATTAGAGAAGCTTTCATAAGGTCGACCCTTTGGATATAGGCCCCTTTACTCAGAACATACTTCTTAGCCCATGTAATGTCACAAAGCATTTACTTTAACCCATGGCCAGAATAGAGCAAGTGTTAAGCTCTACATGTTGCAACTGTTCGCAGAGAGCTTACGTACCTCTAACATCCATTAAGTCAATGTTACTTGACAGTTACTTCCTTTATTTGAACTATAACCGTCACTCACAGCACAATATATATGGTACAATGAGATATGAAAACAACTTCCCTTCTTTAAAAGACAGAAAAAAACACATTCAATGGAAACAGAAGCTCTTCTTTGCACAACTAGAGCAGCATGAGAAGCTCCATGAGTCACACGAGCAAGTTTCTGATCAGCTTTGAAGGGCTTTTACATCTGCTGAGATGACAAAAAACCTTTGCAAGCTGCTGCAATTTGAATCCTCACGTATGCAGAAATTGTAGCATAAGCAGCTGACAAAGTTTTCAGCAAAGACAATCTCTATAGTCTTAGCTGATGGAAGTAAACATAAATGTCTGTTAAACTGGCATGCAACAGGAGCTTCAAAAACACACCTGCGGTCACAAAGCCTGGAACAAAAGACAGGACCAAACCTGGAAACTTTGATATAACCGCTATACACTTTTGCAATCAGGTGTCAAATGAGGTGTTGCACCACAATATTCCAAAACAGGAAAAAGGCAAAAGCAGTGTTAAATACCGGAAAGGCGATTTCACACAGTTTCTGGATCCAGTCCTCAAGTTCAACAGTTTCAGCAGCGAAAATAAATGTCTTTTCAGTTGTCTCCACCAAAAAAGGTCCACAATCCCGTGGACAGCCTTCAACATCAGCCTCCGAAACACGAATGCAGTCATTCATTTTTATCACCTATAATAAAAAAACACAAAAACTTGAGATTTAAAAAAATGTAAACCTTTAAAAAAGTGATGTTTTGAAATGTTTGCCAACAAGTATAACTACATATCAACATTTAAATATGCTCCAAGATGTCCAGATTTGCAAATTGTGTAGGTAGTATGATGCATGAACATTTTTTTTCTGATCATTCTCCATATGCATTAATTTCAGAAGATAGCTTTTTTTGTGAAAATCCTACTTTTGTATGGAAGAGGGGATTTTTGTTTGTCATATTTCATAGCAGAAATGAGAACAGATTTAAGTGCACTTCCTGCAAATTGTTTGTACATGTCCGCCCACACATAAACCATGTGCATGACCCCCACTGATTTTGATTGTTCATGTACCGTGGCACATAAAGGATCTACATCACTCTCCTCAGATACGCCACATATTATTTGTTATGTTCGCAATACATGGAAAATCTGAGCTCCACGGTTTGTTGCTCACCTTTTTGTTTTCCTGTTTGCGATTGGCTTTCTCCAGCATGTTGCCAGCTCCATCTTTAAACTCAAAAAACTCGAGGCGAGAGATGGAGCAGGAGCTCTCTCGGTACAGCACAGACCAGACCTTACGCCATTTCTGAAACAGAGAGAACATACATTGCTGAAAGTGATGTAAACTGTAGGGCTGGGTTTTGACACAAATTTCACGATTCGATTCTCATTCACAAGCTTGCAATTTGATTCGATTCAATATCGATTATTTTGGATATATATCTGGTACACATGCAAAATTTTCTCAAGGGGAAAGCTGACTAATGGGTTTATGGTCAACGAATATGTTTTTCTGAGGTAAACGTGACCTTATGTGACATTGTTTACAAGCCGCTATATTGACGTCTTTGCGCGGCTGAAACACTGATTGAGCGATTACATGAGACAGGATATGGATTGTAAAGTTGTACTCTTTCTGTTAACTTACCTTCGGATGTTTAGTCATGTTTATTTTGTGCTGAAACTGGTATTAATGTGGAGGAGATGATCAGTTCACGTGCGCCTCGCGCTGCCGCTATTATTGAACCGAGGCGCGCTGCACTACAGCGATCACTCCACATTAAATAGCGCCAAAACGGCATTTATTGTTTGAGACTTTGGAATCTGATGCCGCGTCTCAATGTGCCTACTTATAGTACGCCCTTAAAGTATGTACTCTTTTGGTGAAGAAAAAGTACACACTTTTGAGTGTGTAGTAGAAGAGTAGGCAAGCTTTGGGACATACTATCAGGTCACACAACTGTTCATTTCATTTAACTTCCTACCGTACTGGAGAGAAAAGAAGTAGATCGTTGATCTGCCAGTCGCTCATATTTTCTGCATAATGATGCATTTAAAAGTTAACGACCAAATGGATGTTTATAAAAGTTCACATTGCTGTTGCAGATGAAATATTACACGGATAACAATAAATAAATATTTGTTTACCAGGTTAAATGTTGATTATTAGTAACTCAAACCCCTTTTTGTAAACCTCTCTACCTAACCATCCATCGCGCGCATCCGCCACGTTTGTAGTTTTTCTAACGCGTTTTATTCGTGTTTGTAGTTCTGGACCGAATCCTTCGCCAAAGCGCAATGGATTGTGGGCAATTTTAGCCATTAGAGTGTGCACGGATCCACACATCAAAAATCGACCTGAAATAGTAGACCATCCGGGGACTTTTGGCATACTCTTTTCAACATACTACGCTTTGGGACACACTTATTCTAATCTCACACACTATTTAGGATGGATAGTATGAACATTGAGACGCAGGGTGAGACTTTGTTTCATATTAAAAGTACCAAAGCACAATGCTTATTGCGATTGGATGGGAGATGCCCTTCAATGTTCCATTCATTAACTGAAAACAGGCTAGACTAATCGATTCATGGGATTTAAGAATCGATATCGTTTCGTAAGAATGAGAATCGATCATAATCGAGATATCGATATTTTTTTACCCAGCCCTAGTAAACTGTCACACTTTTTTATTTGCGTTGTCCTCTATAGGCATGCACAAAAATGAGATATAAAACTAATGGACCGTATTATATTTCAGGATGTCTAATATAAAACAACATTAAAAGAAAGCACCTAACATATGTAAAACATATTAGAGCCATAAAATATCATCTTGGGACAAAACCTGACTCATATGTGACCCTGGACCACAAAACCAGTCTTAAGTCGCTGGGGTATATTTGTAGCAATAGCCAAAAATACATTGTACACTCTAAAAAATGCTGGGTTAAATACAACCCAGTGCTGGGTAAAATAGGGACAAACCGAGCAATTGGGCAGTTTTGACCCAGCGGTTGGGTTAAATGTTTAACCCAACCTTCTTGGTAGTAACCCAACCACTGGGTCAAAACAACCCAATTGCTAGGTTTGTCCCTATTTTACCCAGCACTGGGTTGTATTTA